GTATTTAAAGAAATTGAAAAAAAAGAATTGGCCTATGAAATATAAAAAAAAGAAAAAAGCAGAAGAAAAGAACTAGAGATAACACTATCCAAGGGTGCACCAAAAAAATTCAAAGTGAAGATATCAGTCATATGCACCATAAAGAATTAAAACTATTAGAAAACCAAGAATGGCTGTTGAATTTGAGAGTACCTGAATTTTTCAGAAATACTGTTTTAGATGAAATGATCAGAATTCAAAAGTCATGCTAGAATGTGATGGAAGGAGTCATTGCTGGGAAGTGGAGAGGAACAGTGGGTGTCAGTCACCCAATTTGAGAAAATAATGGTCGGGAAAAGAAAAGGAAAACGATGATAACTAGAAAAGGATAACAAAACTAAGATAAAACGTGTACCAGGAGCCAATAAAAAGTTGTAGAGAAGATAGAGGGGTAATGGACTGCTCAAGGTCATACAGGAAATGATGAAATGGTAATTTTCAACAGAACAGACTTTAACAATTACCTTTTTTTTTAACATCTTTTTTCTCAAGATTGTATAAACCTCATTTACCCATGGATTTGTGTATACTGAGACTTAAGTCAATTGACTTGTCCTGGTTACCAGCCACTTAGATTATGGGTCAAGGGTTGGGGGGAGGATTTGTCAGCGAATACTAGGGACTGCCCTACCCTTCCTTTGAGGTTATAAACAGAAAGAGAGAGCAAAATAGATGAACAGATGTGTTGAGATAGTAATAATCAGATGTTCTTTTAGGTAGAACATTTCATGTACTACCAAGTGTATAAAATAGACTAAAAATCACGTTTGGATAAAGTATTCAGTCCTCCTTGCTTTGAGAGTAAGGAAGGTGATTAAAAATACCTGTTCAAAAAAAATAAAAAAAATAAAAATAATAATTAAAAAAAAAAAAAAAACAACTACTGTTCAGAACCCCAAGTAACTTCCTTACTCTATAAAAGCAGAACATCTGACTTTTTGCAGCATCATTCACTGGATATCCTACCTAAAACATCTTTCTTATTAGCTGGTGTTCCCAACCTAGTCACCCCAAATTTCCAGCAGCTGAAATAAAGTGCAATATTTTGTTATTTTGAAGGGAAGCTCATCATGAGTGGGGAGGCCTCAGAGAGAAGGAGACACAGAGATCTGTGAAACAGGCTCAGCTCTGTGAGCCATCAGCACACAAGAGCCCTAAGTAGGCAGGCAAACGCCGCCAAGATCGCGGCCTGAGTTGAGGTGGGGCTGCCAACCAGCGCTGGGCCGCAGGCACCCCAAGCTGGAATACTACTGTTTAAGGACTGCGCCAGTGTCAGGCAGTACTGCTGTTAGCCTTCTATACCAAAATCAGTACATACATGCTGACTTAACACTAAATGGCTACAAAAATGGACCTACATTTTGCTTGATTATGAATTTCTCTACAGGTGCCAATTGCAGCAATAGAGATATAGTTCTTTGTGAACTCTTGCCTCCACTCAGTCATTTGGGAACCTTTTGAAGATAGAATTGCAATGAAAGCGAAATCTTATCAAAGTTCTAAATATGTTCCTTGGTGATTCTCAGTAGCTACTCACATTCACACACCCATTTTTTTTTAGCAATTAAAAAAATTTTTTTAATAATGATTTATTTTGAGAGAGACAGTGCAAGCAGGTGAGGGGCAGAGAGGAGACACACAGAATCAAAAGCAGGCTCCAGGTTCCCAGGAGCTGCAATCGCTTCTGAAGCCTAGAATTAAGGACAAACCAAAAACTGACATGTGCCCTGGGCAGTTGAGCAGCTTAACTAACTGGTACAGGTTGCCCACCCCCCCCCATTATTTCTTTTAACCCCAAAATTCTGATCCTACACTCCAAGTATATCCTCTTAAGAAGGTTCCCCCACAGCAGTATTCTGGGATGGCATAATACCTATAAATTTTGTGCAATCTTCCTTTTTATTGTGGGACTGGGCATTAAAGTTAAATTGATTTAACTCTTATTTGACTATTATTCTTCTGGTATATGTCTCCTGTTGAAAAGTAAATCACATACATCATGGCTTTGAAAAGCTTCCCAGTGATTTCATTTTTAGAAATCATTTTTAACTTCACTCTGAATAAAAAAGCCAGAAAATAAAATTAAAACAACCTCTCTCTTGGTACATGGCAATCAGGAAGCAAATAATTGTCTCCAGGGATTGGGTACCTAATGAAGCAGAAGGCTAAAAAATAGTAATAGACTGTATATATGGTATGATAAGTCTCTGGACTTAAGTCCCAATGTGTATTATGATATATATATTATAAAATGTAAATATATCCATTTCCACAGACCGCACGTGTGGGTAGTAGTCTGGGGTCACTGCCTTTATCAGACTTTTTTATGTGCTTAAATCTCATCAGAATCAATTCTGATTCGGAAGGGACTGTAGGTGGAAAAGGGATTTGAAAGACAGGCGTTAAGGCTGAGATTCAGCATTTCTAACAAACTCCCAGTTGATACTTTGATAGGAAGGTTCTAGGTGGTAAATAGCCAGGCCTCTAAGTAGCGCAGCAGTGACTCTTAGAGATATATGAATAATTTTTTTGAAGGGCCAACAAGAGTAAATACTTTTCGCTTTGTAATATAGCTGTATTCTTCCTGATTTATTTCTATGCTTGTTTTTAACAATTAAAACCAATTTTTTTAAACCATTTTAGCTCTGAAAGGGTATACCTTCAGCCTAGAGCAAGAAACTGAAGGTCATATCCGGGCTTGTCAAGATTATTATGGCTTTCAAGCCCAGCTCAAGTCCTTTATGTTGTCAGGCCTCTTGGGATGGCTATGGGGAAGAGGAATCATAAAATTCAGTTCAAAAGCAATAAAAAGAAACTTTTATAGGAAGATCTGAATGTTTGTTGGGGAGAGAAGAAGATAAAAATTATATGGAAGAAAATGGGAAGAAAGCTACCTTTTTTATTAAATGCCATAAAAACTAAAAACTATTTTACTTTTTAGATCATAAATAAGATCTAGAGTAGGAGCATAGTGGACCCAGGATGTATTTGACTTCTTTTAATTTATGTGATTAGCCTGTTCTGTGTGTCTGTACAATATCCAATTATGGTTATAAAAATTGGTCAAACTTTGTCTGAATCCCAGTTCTCTTGCTTGAGTGGGTGATAACTTTGGTCAAGTTACCTAACTTTTCTGAACATTATAATATCCTGGGGTTGTTAATATTAAATAAGAATGTGTACTTGAATTACTTAACATCGGAAAAACTGAGCAGAAGACACTCAATGATGGTAGTGGCGTTACTATGTTATGATCATGACTGAATTCTGCTCAAAAAATCCTATCAGCTCCATGACTAATTGTCCGGAAGGCTGTCCCTTTTAGGTAGATTAGTGAGTCTAGATTATGGTCCTCATGGCATAATGTCCTTCCCCTAATGTTTCTGTAGACATAGCGAGGAAATTTGAACCTATAGCCTCTCTAATAACAACGTATTTAACTGCTGCAAAACTGTCAGAAACCTCAATAGTAAGCGTAATAAGTCACTAATACATGTATTTTTTTAATGTTTATTATTTGTTATTTATTTATTTATTTATTCTTTTAACGTTTATTTATTTTTGAGACAGAGAGAGACAGAGCACATGTGGTGTTTGGGGAGGGAGCAGAGAGAGGAGACACAGAATCTGAAAACAGGCTCCAGGCTCTGGCTGACGGTCAGCACCTGGGGAGGCCCAGCAGGCACCTGGAGTGCAGGACCGTGGATCTTGACTGAGCGAAGTTGGGCCACCGACCCGAGCCACCCAGGCGCTGCCATGTGTGTTATTTTTCAGAGAGAGCAAGCTAGGAGGGCAGAGAGAGGAGCAGAAGGATCTGAAAACAGGTTCTGCTCTGACAACAATGTGAGTCTGATGTAGAGACTCCAGACTCACAAACTGTGGGCCATGACCTGAGCAAAGTTGGATAGCTTCTGACTGAGCCACCCAGGTGCTTTACTTTTTCCATGTATTTTTAAAAGGTGATGACTGTTCTTGGAATGAAATGCACTTTAAAATTGAGAAGGTATTGAGAATTTGCCTGGTGAATTTGGCTCAGACATTAAACATCTGACAGCTCAGTCATCATTCAACTTTTTTTATCTTACATTGTTTATTCTGGGCTCTGTGCTGACAGCTCAGAGCCTGGAGCTGCACTTTAGTTCTGTAACCTGCCCTCTCTCACTTTTATACTGGCATAATATATACTCTTAAAATAATAAAATAATAAAATATTTTTTAAAAATTGAAAGATTGTTTGGGTCTCCTGGGTGGCTTAGTCAGTTAAGTGTCTGACTCTTGGTTTCAGTTCAGGTCATGATTTCATGGTTTATGGGTTCGAGCCCTGCATCAAGCTATTAGGCTGACAGCAGAGCCTGCTTTGGATTTTCTGCCTGCTTCAGATTCTGTCTCCCTTTCTCTCTTTCC